GATGGGGTACGTGCTGAGCAGGGGAGGGGGTCTTGGTTCTTGCCCGCTACCTGGGCTCACACCAAGGCACCTCTGGGTGACAACAGCAAGCGATGCGAGTGCCCTTCTCCGCTCCTCGTGCTGCAGGGCTCTCTGCCCGACTGTCACCATCCCTACCAGAGCCGGGTGACACGCCACACGCAACCGGGGTGGGGGGGGGGGGGCAGGGGGAAACACCTTGCACCCAGGATGCTTGCCAGGGCAGCTCGGGGCTGGGGTGAGTAGGGTGGCTTGGGGAGGGGTCGTGCTCTCCAGGAGGATGAGGATGGCCCCAGGTTTCTCCTAGATCCTTTTGAAATGACAAATCCCCAGCTGGACCCAGGCCTCCACGTGCCGAGGGGGAGCTGGCTGCTCTCCCCCCGCCGCCCGTGCTCCCTCCGCCAGCCCAGGGGATGGGACGCCTGCCATTTCCTTTGGCCAGCGTGCGGATCAGAGCCTTTTTTTCCCCCCATTCAGGCTGACAACTGGGCCTCAGCATCAGCTGCTTGTTGCTCAGCATCAGCCTTTCAGCAAACAGCAGGTGCAAGCGGTGTGACCCCGGGCTCTGCTACAGTAATCCCCGCTTCCCCCCCCGGGCCCCCCTCGCCCAATATTGTCCCCTCGGCTCAAGAATGTTTTTGTCTCCCCTTCACAGTTGTGAATTCTTTTATATCTTGAAAAGAAATCTCTTTCTAATCTTCCTGCCCGGCCGCGGCGGGGGGAAGAGGGGGTGCCTGGCTGTAGGGGGGAGCGTGGCCTGGCACAGCGTGCAGGGGGGGGATCTGCTCCCTCCTCGGCAGCTGCCTGCGATGGCCCCCGGCCGAGCTGCTGCCAGCACGGGCAGGAGGTAGGGGATGGTGCCCTCTCCGCCTGCATCCGCAGCAGCGCCGGCGTCCGGCTGCACCAGCTCTCACCCCCACCCGGGTGAAGAAACCGGCTCACCCACACGTGGGAAGCACGGAGGCGACACCGCAGCAGGGCTCTGCTCCCTCACCGACGTTTAACCGCAGCGAGCCCAGCCCCGGAGAAGGCCGTAAGGCAAGTGGGAGCCCAGGCGAGCGGAGCTCTTGCATCCGGCATCAGGCAAGGGCTGCAGGAGGGAGCGGGAGGGATGCCCGCAAAAGGGGGCCGGAGGGATGCCTGCAAGAGGGGGCCGGAGCAAGGTGCTGCGCGAGGCTTGGGCATGGCCGCAGGGCTTGGCCTCAGCGCATCTCCCCTGTACAGTGAAAACAAGACTCAATGACACTTTCGTGATGTGTCACCCTGTGCTGAAATTGCACAGCAAAGCCCAGCGCAGGAGGGAAGCATCCTCCCCGTGGGTTACCAAAGCCTCCCTTCCCCTCATGGACCAGCCCCACCGGCAAGAAACCGCATCCTCTGCTGCATGCATGCAGGGACAGGAGCACACGTGCTCCCCGCCGCCCCTCACGTGGGGGCGATGGTTCCTGCTGTCCCCCAGGAAGGGAGCGGGGGGCAGAGGGGCTCTCCAGGGAGCTGGGCTCCCCAGGGAGCTGCCCAGAGCCAGCAGCTCATCCTGCAGCCACGCAGCAGCCTGGAAACAGAACCTGGCAGCCCCAGCGGGGCTCAGGAGGTTGTTTTCGGGGAGGGGGGGGGCCGAACCCAACCCACACAGGTCCTTGCCAAGCAGCAGTTCTTACCTTGCAGACGTGTTTTAAAACAAATGTCCTTGGTGTGTTTATAAAGCAAACACTGCCCTGGTGCTGTGGGCATCCCTGCAAACACGGGCCTCTCTTTAAGCTCCAGTTTCGGACGTGGCTTGGAGAAGTTAGGGTCCCACCTGCCCCAAAAAGCAGGAGGCAGGACACAGAGATGTTACAGCCTGTCCTCTCCACTCCATCTTCCGCTTCCCTTCTGGCATGACTTTCTGCATCAAATACACATCAGTACCTGTTCTGGCAGTGTCGTAGCTCAGCACAAGCCCAGCTTTTCCATGACAAACTGGCTTCTCCTGCAGACTGCGCCGGGGGGACTCACGGAGCAAAGGGGCATAGGATGCAGTTTGTTCGTGCAATGCTGTCAGCATCTATGGCAGCTGGGTTGCACAGCTGAGGAGCTAGAAAAGAGCAGAGCTGCAGCATCCACAGCAGGGATGCTGGGCAGGATGGCACAACCCAGACCTTCGTGCCCTTCCAGTGCTCAGCGCAGTTCCAGAACCTGCTCCCTTGCAAAAGCCTCGCACGCCCACCCTGGGGCAGCGGCCGCAGCCGACAGAGCCCAAGATGAGCACGTCCTGAGGTCCAAGTGTAGCCGTTTCAGCTGCAAAATTCACCTGTAAGAGACCAAGCCGAGCCAGAGCTTTGCTACCTTCAGGACATGATGCTCAGACTGTTCTTCCATCAGGTGTTCATAAGGAACAAGCTGCAGAGCAGCTCTGACCACACACAGCGAGAAATAAATCACCCGAGCTGGCTGCCCCTGGAGCCTGCAGCTCCAGCACGGGAACCCAGCGTGGTTTTAATTCTTTCAAGAAATCAATAAGCTGCTAACCTGTGAAACCCACCCGGCTGCTACAGGACCAATGCTTTACACGTAGGAAACGACTGCGGGAGCACCCCAAAGCTCAGTCAGCCAGCGGGTGCCGCTGGGTGCGGGTTCTCCATCCGGGACAGGCAGCGTTTGTGGGTTCCCAATAAGCTACGAGACGCTTCCCTGTGAACCCACCTCCTCCAAAATCCCCATGTTTTATACACGCTGCTAAAATAAACTCTCTGTTTACCTTTGTGAGCAATTCCCTCTGCTTTCCCTGCTTGGTAGCCAGCCTCCTGCAAATGGGGGAAGCGATCCCGAAACCCAGGAGAGGTGCAGCCCATCCTACCCTGCCCTGTGTCAGCCAGAGCCTCCTCAGGCTGCGACAGCGCCCGTTACAGATTCGGAGCAGACGCCGTTAAGATCACGTCTGAGGGCACAGCACCCTTGCACGTTTTCCCTATTAGCTCTGCTGCTCTCCAGAGGAGGCCTGAGGCACAGCCCAGATGTATCACTAAATATTATTTTTTTTTTTTATAAAAATGAGGCTTAGGGGAAAAAGCTGTGGCTGGTAAGAAAGCAGGAGGGAGAACAAGGGAACGCAATGCTGCACCCATTGCTGCTGCCAGCCTGGGCGCAGCGGTACTGGTTGAGGTCTGTGCCCGCCCGCTGCTGGGGAACGCCCCACAGGAAGGCAGGCCACCCAGCAACAGCTTATTTTTATAGCATCGTGTAAAGATTAAACCCTTATCCCACGAAGAACCCTCCCCAGCCCTTCCTTTTCTACCACACCGAAACCTGCTGAGCGCAAGGCGAGCCGGCCCCTTCCCAAGGCAGCGCTGCTGGGGAGGTGAGGTTTGATTAACATAACCTTGCCTCAGATTTATGCATCTCTCCCTCCACCCTGTCCCGCGATGCATTAGACAGTGATTCATTTTACCTTTAACTCCGAGGTGCTGATCAGCCTAGAAGGTGAAGGCATTATTTATTATGTGCATGAAAAAAAAAATAAAAAAAAAATAAAAAAAATCAGACCTCTCCAGTGTTACAGGACGGGTTTAAGAATCTGCGGGTCCCTTCCAGCCTAGAAAACCTATTTTTAATAATCTGAATCTCACAACGTCCTGACGTGGCTCCAACACTTGTTAGAGAAGCTCCTCTGGCCAGAGACGGATCACAACACAGCGATTCAGGTCCTACGCTCTTCTGAGCGCCTTCAAGGAAGACTGCAGTGATTCAGTCCCATGTTAAAGAGCTGAAGAACACACAGGTAAAATACGAGTTTCCGATACGTGTTGGAGACGTTGTGCCTGCGCTCCTCACCACCCCTGCAAGTGCTCCCACCACCTCTCCAGTTAGATTTGCCATTTCAGTGGGACACAGAAACCCCAGCTCTTACTCCTCGGAGCAGGAATCTGCTACCCACATGGCTTGGGCAAACCTGAAAACTCCTGCCTTCGGCCTTTCACGGGACGTAGCAACCGCAGTGATTTTGGGACTTGCACCTCCAGGAGCAGACGGCATCTGCAATGACTCTGTGATAAAATACAAATGTCTGGTCACATAAATTCTTACATTAACGTACAGTAATGCACTTGGTGTTTCACGTGAAGTGCACTTCACTTGCGCGTCAGGGCTCATTTCCAAAGCACTTTCAGGGGCAGCTCAACAAGATATTCTTGGCAGGCCACCCCTGCCCACTCTCCGCTACCTCCATCCAGAGATGGAGGCTGAAAACCAAACCCTGGGATGCTTCCAGAGCGACAGCCATCCACCACAGCTGCGTAAACGTGACGTTTAGGAGGAAGGCGCTACCACCACGGCGCTAGCAGCTCTTTCCAGCTCTCAGTGAAGTGCGGTTTTGTAACTTCCATAAACACTTGGTGACCTACCTGGCGATTCAGGAAAGCGAGTTTTTCCTCGGTCTGTGGCATTTTAAAATTCTGCATTAGTCAACTGTCACCTAGCATAGACAGATGTCAACTGCAACCACAAAAACACACAAAGCTTTAAGCTCTTTTTTGTTAAAACTGCTGGGAGGTTGCCTGCATGGCAACTGTTTAATTAATTATTCTGTCATATTTACAACATCCAATTTTCCTTTGTGATTCACTCTTTAAAGCTGGTAGTATACCGTGCAATTTTCTTTAATAAAGCTAGGTAAACTTCAATTTGCTGGATATAACACACACCAAAAACACCCACAAATACTGCTGCGCTCGCCCTGGCTTCCCTGGCCAACCGAAGGTGGAGTGCGAGTACAGGCTTTTGCCAAAAGAACAACCTTTAGAAAAAACCCAAATAACCCCAACCCAAAAAGTCAACCTCCTCCTGCCTGCTTCATTCATGGGTGTCACAATACAGGTCTGACGTTTCAACTGTTCCCGGAATGATGGATGGTGACACCTCCGAATGAATAACCCAGCGGGAGGCAGTCAATCAGAGCAGCAAAGACTCGGGGCTGCGCTGAAA